CTCTCTCTCTCTCTCTCTCTCTCTCTCTCTCTCTCTCTCTCTCTCTCTCTCTCTCTCTGTGTGTGTGTGTGTGTGTGTGTGTGTGTGTGTGTAACTTGCAAAACATATCATTAAAGGCCAACCACAATACGAGGCCCTCTCTCTCTCTCTCTCTCTCTCTCTCTCTCTCTCTCTCTCTCTCTCTCTCTGTGTGTGTGTGTGTGTGTGTGTGTGTGTGTGTTAACTTGCAAAACATATCATTAAAGGCCAACCACAATACGAGGCCCTCTCTCTCTCTCTCTCTGTGTGTGTGTGTGTGTGTGTGTGTGTGTGTGTGTGTGTGTGTGTGTGTAACTTGCATGCATGGATGCATGCTCCAGTTGTGTCACTCTGCGCGAGAGTGCATCTGGTTCCTTTTCCTGTATGCAGTGATGCCGGATTGGATTACGGAGCAGGTGGGCTTCCTGCTCCGACTGGACAGTTTTTCAAACTTTTATCGTAAAAGAATGGAAGTTACTCAAGTAAATAACTTAATAATATGTGACAATAGATGGAAGTTGGAGGAATCAATTTACAGGTCCTGCTCTATATTGATTGCTTGTTCTATCGTTAATGAAGAAGTGTCAAATCGAAAGCTGGTATGATCGTATGCACAAACACCAACAAACATGGCGCGCTTGATTTTTTTTCACGCCAGACTTGTCTACTAACTCTCTCTAATAGTTTCTATTGCTGCTGCGCAAGCAGCACGAGCAGGCCTTGTGAGCCAAGGAGAATCTCATTGGCGAAGCTTATGATGGCCACCCACACTACGGGCGACACATCCACCCCGCCTACCGGACGTATCACCCGCCTAGTGGGGGCCAGAACAGGCTCTGTGGGGGCATACACTAAGACGTAAGGAAGCTGGTTGACGGGGAGCTGCGGATACCATGACATGATTATTCTAAGAATGAATAAAAACGTCAGGACTGCAAAAACAGGTCTCAGGATGGCAGCAATGAGCACGGCAGTGGCCGGATCCAGTTCTGCAGCTGCAACCGTGTAGAGAGGAGAGATGTCGGCCCAGCGGTGAGCAGCGACATGCTCAATCCCTCTTACACTACCTGACAGTGGAAAGGACTGCGCAAGAGTAGAAGCAGAAGCAGACGACGGAGTCCTAGCCCACTGCCATGCCAGCGTAGCCATGGCCGTCGCCGTCTGACAATGGCCGATCATCGACGACCGCGCGGTACTAAGCCATGAAATGGCAGTCGATTTGCTAGTCCTTGGCAGTGTAGCTCTCTCTCCGGCATCTCTCTCCGCGCACTCATCATCGTTCAGCTCCGGAAAACTTTCTTTCCGTGCCCTGAAATGTCCCTTATCCTCTGACTTGGAAACCGGAACCCTTTCTTTCCTCAGCCCAGAATCGCACCCAGAAAATCCTCCTCCAAGGCAGTTCTCTCCACCGAGCCTTCGAACCTGCCATCATGAACGAGGCCAGCCACCATGGACGACATGATTGGCCGAGAACCGAATCAAGAGATCTTCCAACTGAATGCTTTCATTCATCTTTTATATATATATATATATATAGACCTTGGCTCATCAGACTTTTTATTGTTCATGGGCTTCTCTTTCTTTGGGGTATAGCCCCGAAGGGCCCTCGCATTCTTGCATTCGTCTTCATTTCAGTAAAGGATTCCAACTCACGACCTATCCCTCTAGCCACCAGTACCTTTCACATATATCGTCTGTGGGCAGGAATTCGAGGCCAACACGAAAAACGGGCCGTCGATGACATTTATCAACGGCTGCCCTTTCCCCATTGGCTTCCGAATATACCGGAGGCATTTCTGCAGAACGGCTGGAGAGATAGGTCGTGAGTTCGAATCCTACTGAAATGAGACGTACTGGTGGTTAACCGGGCGCATGGGTGTTCCATTTCAGCCACATGGGTTGGTTGATATACTATATATATATATATATATATATATATATATATATATCGTCAAATAGAACTGCCCGGTAAACCGTAGGCAGAGAGGGAGAAGAGGACAACAAACGAGGGGCTGTGACAAACTGTTTCGTCGGAGTTTCACCGACTCATCAGGAGGCTGAACCCTCAACAGTCTGCAGAATCCCCTCACTGATTACACTGTAAATGATAATCTACCTCAACCAAAATCAAAGTAGACTATCACTCACCCACACCAGATGGAAAACTCTACAGACTGTCGGTTCACACCCCATCACAATATATATCGTCAAATAGAACTGCCCGGTAAACCGTAGGCAGAGAGGGAGAAGAGGACAACAAACGAGGGGCTGTGACAAACTGTTTCGTCGGAGTTTCACCGACACATCAGGAGGCTGAACCCTAAACAGTCTGCAGAATCCCCTCACTGATTACACTGTAAATGATAATCTACCTTAACCAAAATCAAAGTAGACTATCACTCACCCACACCAGATGGAAAACTCTACAGACTGTCGGTTCACACCCCATCACAATATATATCGTCAAATAGAACTGCCCGGTAAACCGTAGGCAGAGAGGGAGAAGAGGACAACAAACGAGGGGCTGTGACAAACTGTTTCGTCGGACTTTCACCGGAAATATATCGTCACAAATAGAACTGCCCGGTAAACCGTAGGCAGAGAGAGAGAAGAGGACAACAAACGAGGGGCTGTGACAAACTGTTTCGTCGGAGTTTCACCGACACATCAGGAGGCTGAACCCTAAACAGTCTGCAGAATCCCCTCACTGATTACACTGTAAATGATAATCTACCTTAACCAAAATCAAAGTAGACTATCACTCACCCACACCATATATATAGATAACATATATATATATATATATATATATATATATATGATGAGTCGGTGGAACTCGGACGAAACAGTTTGCCACAGCCCTCGTTTGTTGTCCTCTTCCCCTTCTCTGCCTACGGTTTACTGGGCAGCTCTGTTTGACTATATATAGATATATATATACAGCTTGTTTCTTCAACTTACATTTGGATGAGTTTGTTTGTTGACTTCGTGTACCTCAACGCAAGGTGTTTGTCGTGCCGACTATATTACAGCAGGGCAGTGCGGCAAACAGCAGTGAAGTGGAATACGAAACCTCAGATGAGACTGAGGCCAACCGACTACTACCAACGAACCACCCACCTGTCCACCAGTGTTTTCATCCTTGTTTGTGACAGTACTCCTTTTTGTGACAGCTCAACCACCTGTCACCTAAGGGGGTTTCTTCACCAATCCAGAAAAGGGAGGAGAGCTGCACAACACTGGAAGGGAACCGCACCCACACATAGTGAAGGATGGGGATGCAATCAAACCTCCGTGCAAGGCTTCAGGCCTCGGCAGGGCCCAACCAAGGGCCGCACCAATAAGGCCCGGCACATGGCTCTGTGGAGACTGATCGCGAGGAGAGCAGACACAGCAGTAATGAAGCACTTGTCAATGTATTGCGCCTATGGTGGCTACCTGGCTCTGGAGACTGATCGCTATCCAAGAGATCTGAAAAAGAGGGAGAGGAGAGCAGACACAGCAGTAAAGCCCCCTTCCCAGGGAGCTAGAACAGTTTTCCCTCCCTCTTCAATCCCTTTCACTTCCTCTCTTCATCCCTTGAACACTCGACATTTTCCACTTGATGGAGCAAGACGCCAGGGATGCTCATTGAGCATTTCCACAAAGAAGATCCCCATAGCCTTCTTCTTATATGTGCCTGACACATCGGAGGGGAATCCATGCTCGTCGCAATCCATGCTCGTTGCGTTTCTCCCAACGCTCGTCGCAATCCATGCTCGTCGCGTTTATCCCAACATCTCGTCATGGGCTCCATGTCAAGTGCTGAAGCTCACTGTTTCTCATTCAGTAACTACGCTTCTTCCAATGCTCTATCCGCATACTTCAGCTAACGCTCCAGGGCCAGGACGTGCAACATTGCACGAGGCCCCAGTTTGGATACGAAGTGTATTTGACTTTTGGAAGCAGTCAGTACACACGGACAGTGAAAAATGTTGCGGCAAACTCCAGTCAAAGTCTAGCAAATTCACCAACTGCTTAATCTTTAGATTCTTTATACACTGAATGGGCATAGATTGAAGGAGCAGGGAGAAAAAGGAACCCCCCCGTACCAATCTTTGATTACTCAGTCAAACAGGCTACTGCAAGGAAATTGCGCGATAGCGAAATGACAGAATTCCAAATTGCAAAATCACATTGAATGCCAGAATATAAGCTGTCCAGAAGGGGCAGAAATGCACACTGATTTCACACCGAAGGAGAACCAAATCAGCGAACTCGATTGTCAATGAGAGCCCTCTCTCGCCACCACCAACAACGTACTCGAAGCTCTTCCTCCCCACTGGCGCTCAGCGCCCAGACTATGATCCTACACCTACGAAGCTAGCCTATGAAATAACAAAGCAACCAGTTGACGTCAGCAGCAGCAACCGAAGTACATGCAGATGTCGCAGACCTCTGCCAGGACCAGGTACATGCTCTCACATCACTTCTCCTCTCGCCCCTTCATCGCTCACCCTCATCTTCTACCTCACGTTCCTTCTCCAACCAAGGACCACCCGCCTAACCCCGCCAGCAATCCAAGCCCAGCCCGGCTACGAAGGGCTGAGCCATGGCGCCGCCTTCTTGCAGCGCCCTCCTCTAGCGACCTCGTTCGCTATTTCCAGCACCGCGCTAGCACGCAGCACGCGCGAGCATTCACTCCAGCAGCGCTGCCGCATGCACTTGCAAGTGCCCAAATATCCTCCCTTGGTCTGGCGCTTTCCTACATGGAAAGCGGCCAGGCTCGATGCTGCCTGGACCGGCGTGTGTGTGCCCAGTAGCTTCGCTTTGGGCCAAAGTGTCTGCGCCCATGCCCATTCTGACAGTGGCCTGGGACCGAATCGGTCAAGGCCTGCCCAACCACCCAAAGCGCAAACGTGAGGTGATCCCTGCTTCCACTGTGTTGCCTGAAGAGCTTGGAAGGCTCTCTCGAGTGTTTTCTGAATTTCACGAGCAGGGCGGATGTAACCAACTGCCACTTGGCAACTGTCTGGCGCCCACCAAGGCTTTGCAAAATCGACAAATTCGGGCCTCATTGAGGGGGCGCCTTCGCTTAGGGGGGGCTCATGCTTGCCATAGGGCCACATCCACATGCAGGTATGCCGAGGGCGTAAAATCCTCGCACTACTCAATATTATTAACAACGAAGGACCCCTGCCATAAAGCCAGAGATGGAAAACGACTATGGGCGAAGATTCATGGTAGACTCTTAAAATTCCCATGGCGTAAATTACTTAATTTGAATCCGTACGCCCCAACAAAAACCAGAAGCCTTCCATGGCTAATTACATATGCGGCTCCCACAGTCGAAGAATGGCTTCATATCCGACAAAAAAGAAGAATGATGCAAATGCCTCAGACATTTGCAGTTGTGCACAGAGAGAGAGAGAGAGAGAGAGAGAGAGAGAGAGAGAGAGAGAGAGAGAGAGAGAGAGAGAGAGAGAGAGAGAGAGAGAGAACATTCTCCGCTGCCAGATTCACTGCAAGGAAGTCACAGAATACCGGGCAACAGCAAGTACCTCTGGACATCACTCTTTTTGTCCTTCTTCCCTGAGCATACCCTTTAGCTCCTCCTGTGGAGAAACATCCCTCCCCACCTGCAAAACCCTGAGAGGTTGTGATATGGTTCCATCAGAAAAGTGATGTAAAACAGGTCATCCGGAAAGAAAGCTGCAGCATTACACTGGACGACACACGCAAGGACGAAGACCGGCCTCTACAAAGGGTCTAGTATCAAAAACCTTAATCAAAGCAGAATGGAGAAAAGCAAAGCTCCTGATACGATCAAGGCCAGAATAGGAACAGCATCATGAAACCCGCTCTCGGCGAAAGTGTTGGAGCAAGATAGCTGTCATCGAGTGCAATATTCTGCCTTCAGAAAACTGGCACAAGTCTGAGGCAGCCTGTGCATTCCCGTAACGACCTCGACCCAATATGGGCTAAGAGACAGAGGAGAACTGGCTTGCTTTTTCTATTTCTTGGGATTCAATCAGATCCGACGGTCGAGTCCAGTGCTAGAAATTTGGAAGACAAGGCCATTCTGACAGCCAATACTCCTACAACGGAGGAATAATGCTGTTCGGCCGCAAACGGATGGAACCGTTGAGTGTCTATAACTTGGTATTGCGTCAGACGGACTCAGACCTACTGTCGACAGGAAACCGGCTGATGCTGCCCATAATGGACAAGGAACCATGACCTTAAGGACCTGGTTATTAATTAAAAAAAAAAAAAAAAAAAACAATTAAACACTATATGGCGTTCAATACCTCAACCGCACGCGATTGGTCTTCTGGGCCACCTTAGTACTTGAAACTTGGTACTTGGAACCATGACCTTAAGGACCTGTTTCAGGTTCTCGGCGTTAGATGGCAGTGCCGCATCGTTGGCTGAAGTCTCCA